TCTGGAAGGCAGCGGTCATAGCAGTGGCACTTCAGGTCAGGTAGGGGACACCAGCATCTGGGGCAGGCCGGCACTGTCCTCCTGAGCCATTCTCCTGTGGGGACAAGGTCTCCCTGTGCCCAACTCACTTCAGTCATCCTTTCCCCTCGACCTCCCTTGCAGAGGAGGCTGTCAGGTCACCAGCGCAGTCCCATTTCACAGGAGGGGACACTGAGTGCGACACTGAGGGACTGGACTAAGCCTCTATGGTTAGGTCAGGGTTGCAGGAGCCAGGAGATTTCCCGCGGTGGGGAGGAGGACCTCCCTGCCCCATCAGTCCCATCTGGTTGGGGGTCGTGCAGACCACAAGGTCTTTATGGAGTGGATGCTCAGAAATCCCCAAGGACCAGGCCCGCCAGGGATTCGCGAGCTCTGGAACGCGGAGGTGGGGGAAACCATGTGACCGAGCCGGTCACGCCCCCATCGCCTTCGATGATTGGCTCGCTGCTGAGAGAAAACAGCCAATCAAAGCAAAGTGCTGCACCCCGCCTCTTTTCACCAGCCAATGGACACAAGGCTCTTGCTCTCCCGTAGGTAGAAGAAAAAACTCAGGTGAGGTTTCTCTGTGGTGTTCCAGGAGTTGGTCCTCAGCTTCTGTAAGGGCCCCCATCCTTTCCTTCGCCTCAAGCATGGAATAAGGCACCAGTGGGGTTTGGGGACCCTGGTTTTCAGGACCTAAAGCTGCCTGGGTTTGGCTGCTACCCCTGCATTCCCACCCTGTGAGCATCCGGGTGCCCTGGGCTGTGACGCAACCTCTGTCTCCAGGCTGACCTCAGCACAGGCTGGGGAGAAAAGAGAGGGGCTCTTAGACACAGGACCTGGGCCCCATGTTAGCCATGCTTAGAAAAACACAAACTGGCCAGGCACAGATCGCTAATGACTGTAATACCTGCAACTAAGAAGGCAGATGTAGAGGATCATGGTTCAAAGCCAGCCTAGTCAAATAGTTCATGAGACCCTAACTCAAAAAACAAACAAACAAAAAAAACACCACGACAAATGGCTGGTGGAATGGCTCAAGGTGTAGACCTTGAGTTCAAACTCCAATATCACACACACCAAAAATAATAAGGGCTGGGATGTAGCTCGGTGGTACAGAGCTTGCCTAGCATGCGCAAGGCCTTGGGTTCGATCCCATCACCAAAAAAAAAGAAAAGACAAAAAAAATAAAACAGGAACTTGTCAACTGGTCAAGGCAGCCCCTGGAACTGAAACCCCTCCCTCTGCCCTGTCCCCTGAGAGAGCCATATAACTGCTCAACCTATAGACTCAGATCCGTGGTGCAGCTGTTCACAGGAAGGTGCTTGTGGTCACACTTCCTGACTGCTACATGACCTTACAGAGACACACTGGTGGCGGCAGTGGATCTCCAACAGGCTGTGTTTTGCTGCACCCCACAAGGAAAAGCTTTCTCTGGCCACTGTGGAATCCTCTGACTCCCCGAGGCGGACCCCCACTGTCCTCCACGTCTTTGACCCCTTCAGAGGCTGAGCGATGGCGTCCATGAGGCTACAGGTGACAGGCATCGCCCTGGCCTTCCTGGGCTGGCTGTGTGCTGTACTGAGCTGTGCACTGCCCATGTGGAGGGTGACAGTCTTCCTCAACAGTGACATGTATGAAGCTGAGTTCGTATCAGAGGGCTTGTGGAAGGTCTGCGATTTTCTGAACGGAACCCAGATTCAATGCACGGAGTACGGGACACTGGAGATATTCCCACAGGACATTTTGGTGGCCCGTGTCCTCATGGTCACCTGCATCGTTGTGGCTGCACTGGGTTTGCTGTTCTCCGTGGTGAGGGTCAAGTGCACCAAGAGGGTGGAAGGTGAGACCACCAAGGCCAAGGCCATGACCAAGGCAGGTGTGATGTTCCTGGTAGCTGCCTTTCTACTGATTTTCCCAGTGACCTGGATAACTCATGGCATAATCTTCCACAACCTCAGTGTTCTGGAGGGCTCTGGGGAGAGTCAGAAGATGGGGGCCTCGCTCTACATCGGTTGGGTCGCCGCTGTGCTGCTGCTGCTTGGAGGGGCCCTGCTGTGCTGCACTAGGCTGCTCTGCCTCATCCTCCAGCCCCACTCTGCTGATTACTCCGCCCCCACTCAATGTCCTCATCCTCCCCGCAGCTAAGGAGAAGACGGTCTGTATTTCTTTCTCACTTTCTTTCTTTCTTTTTTCCCATTTTTCTTTCCTTCTCCTCACTTTGTTTCCTACATTCTTTCATACTCTCTTCCTAACATTCTTTCTTTTCTTTCCTGGCAGTACTATGATTTGAACTCAGGGCCTACAACTTGAGCCTCTCCACCAGCCCTTTTTTGTGGGTATTTTCAAGTGGGGTCATGAGAACTGTTTGCCTGGACTGTCTTCGAACCCTGATCCTCCTGATCTTATGACTGGCTCCATGCAGTGTTGAGAGGGCAGGTCAGCAGCAGTGGAGGGTGTCAACCCAGGTCTCAACCTCCTGACCTTGGCCGCCTCTGAATAAAGCTGTCGTGGATAACCGCTGACTGCGTGCTCAGCTGGGAGGGCAGCGCTGACCCGTGCTTTCCCTCCACTTGCTTGAGGGGGCGGGTGTGGTGTGGACACAGGAACGCTTGTGCACAGGGGACTGGATGGGCAGCTTTCCACCTGGTTTAGTGACACACATGAACTAAGTGTCCTACTCCAGGGCACATGGACGACACTGAGGGCACCCACCATCAGCAATGCATGGGAGGTCCCTGTGGGTTGTTGGTGGGGTGGGACTGTCGTCTGGTGCTTTGTCTGAGGGGTGTCGTTAGACACTCCAGAGGCCAGGACCCCATGATGGGAGTGTGGAGGAGGAAGCCTGTCACCTGACTTTTTTTTTTTTTTTTTTTTTTTGGTGGTACTGGGCCTGGAACTCAGGGCCTCACACTTGATAGGCAGACGCTCTACCACTTGAGCCACTCTGACAGCCCTGAATTTTGTTTTTTGGGACACGTTCTCTCTCTGTAGCCAGGCTGGCCTTGACCTCAGGGTCGTCCTGCTTCTGACTCCCATGTGCCGGGATCGCAGTTGTACCTACCACGCACGACTGACCAACTGAATTTCAACTCTTATTTCATTTGCGTCATTTACAGTTCTTTATGTGGCGCCTGGCCACCTGATTTGTCAGCCCGTGAAGTCTTGCCATTCAGTACCATCACCATTTTCTTTCTTTCTCTTTCTTTCCTTCCTTCCTTCCTTCCTTTCTTTTCGGGATTCACCCTTTTGAGACAAGGATTCTACTCCTGAGCTCCACCCCAAGTCCAATACAATGATTTTGCAAAGACCATTTGTTACTGAGGGCAGTTTCCAAGGTAGTGAGATGTCACCAGCAAGAACCACACCCATGTCTGTCCTAGTGCCAGGACAGTGCATGGTGAGGATGTGTGAAACCATCGTCTCAGCTGCCACCCAGCGCCTGCCTACTATTTCCCTAACCAAGGGGATCTGCAGCTCCTATATGAGAGCTGAGGTGAGCCACAGTGTTCTGGGGACTTGATCTTGCCCAGCCTCTTGTAATCATCCTGTGCTAGCCGTGGCCTTTCATTCTGTCACCTCATCACAGCTGGTGCACTGCCAAGAGGAAGGAGGAGGAAGGACAAAAAGCAGTTATGGTGAGCCTTCAATGAAGACAGACCCTATGTAAAATCACTGTAGGCCATAAGGGCAGGGGGTTTGGGTGAAAGGCAGAGAATGTGAGGGGTTGTGTGTGCACGGGAACCATTGACAACGCTTTGCAACCAAGAGTGCGAATCCCGGGTCTCCTGTGTTGGAAGAGATGAGATTTATTATTTTCCTGACAGCAAGGATTCCTGTGGAGCACCAAGGCCAAAGTTGGCCCAACGATCCCCAGAGCCCCCAATGTCCCCGGCTGCCCTTCTGTCACTTGTCAAGCACTGCCAGCTCCTTCTCATTACAACGTGGGCCTCCTCGGGACCTCCCATGCAAAGCTTCAAGGCCTGCTGGGAACAGGAGAGGGAGTGCAATGAAGGGTTGCACTTCCCTTTTCTTGTTTTTGGGGTTAGGGTATTTCCCAGAAGTCTCAGTGGCTGGGAAAGCACAGCCTGGCACTTTCAACTCAGGGGTGGGAAGTGAGCACTGCGGGGGACATGCCTGCTCCTTGGGGTGCGGTCACAGATGTGCTCACTTGTGCATTCGAGTCTGATGGACTGCGATGTTGCAGATGCTCCAGAATCTGAGCTGTGGGCTGTGTGGTCCCCAGGTTGCATGGGCCCGGGCCACGTGGTCTCAGGCTGCGTGGACTCAGGCTGCAGTTCACTCTCCAACCCTGAGCAAGCTCCAGGCAGGTGCAGTCTGAAGTGCAGTTTACTGGGATGGCTCCAGCAGGCCGAGTGGGGTGAGGACATGGCAGTTACCTTGCCAGCAGCAGGTGTCTGGGGAGAATCAGGGTGGCCAACAATGAGGGGCAGACTTGTTGTGGATGGGTGTGGAGTTCTGGGGGCCAGGACAGCCACTTTCCTTCCTTTTGGCTTCCCTTCTCCTCTCCTTCCTTCTCTCACCTTCCCTCTCCTCCTCCTCCCTTTCAGTCTGTCCCTTCCCCTCCCCCTCCCCCTGCCCCTTCTCCCCTACAAACTGAGGCAAGCAGGAGCTGCCAGGCATGTCCTGTCCTCTCTGTCTCTCTGTTGCCTTAAATACTACTTACATGCCTTTGACTCCCTGGACTGTACCCAACTGTGCACAGGACATTTGTCCCTTGGGACCACAGTGACACACCCACACCTGTTATTTTCAGGTGTCTCATGAAAAATATCTAACACACACACAAAGAAGAGCCAAGACAAGACATATGCTGTGCATTTCACCCCTTAGTTTAAACGTTAACAAAACAGTGCTGGCCAGCACGAGGTTTCCACAGTGCCCCTCTGGTGGGTGTGCTTCCCTGCTTCAAGTCCCAAATCCAATTTCCTTGTTACCCTTATCTGACCTCTCTCCACCTGGCTCTGCCTTCCTGGCCCCTGCCAGGGCTGGAGCTTGCCCTAGCTGCCCCAGGACCTTTGCACTGCTGCTTACTGGATCTTCCTTCAGATCTTTGCTTGTCTGGTTTATTTTCAACCTTCAGGTACCTGCCACCCAGAAAGATTAAATGTTAGCATTTGGGCATATTGCGACAGAATGTTTGAAAAGAAAACGGGAAAAGAAACCCTTCCTTTCCATTCTCCATCTTCCACGTGCTGGTCCAGCTACAGCCATCAATGGTCTGGGACCATGTAGATATTTTATGTCTGCCAATCTATCTATTTATTTTCTGTCTAACTATCTGTAAAAAGAAAAAGTACAAACTACATTCTTCAAGAGGGAGTGACTCCAAAAATTGTCCATCAAAACTTAAGAATCCACACAGGTATGGGATCAAATAAAATTCCATGTGAGACGTGGTGCCTACCGTTTCTGGGTCCTGTAGTTGTCCTTATCCTCTTACTTGTGTGTGACCTTGCATTCTAACCTTACTAGTCAAGTTCATTTCCTCTCGCCTAGAATCCATCAAACTACAGATGCTCATAAAAATAATGACGACCTACAACCCTGGTCCCCTCCATAACCCCTCTGGAGGTCAGCCCTGATGCTGTGGGCCCCTTCGCCGTCCCCTTTCAGCAGGAATCAGTTACCGAATGGACTTCGTTGTCCCTGTCCTGATGGCAGGGCAATCTTGAGACTGTGACTTGAAGGACAGACTGCGGAAGGACCACATGTTCCCCAAAGATGGCCATTAACCAGGGAGAAACGCCCCTTCTCCTTCCCAAGAAACTCCTGATTGCGCCAGAAGCCGCCTCTCCTTCCCAAGAGACACCTGCTCACGCCAAAATCCGGCAATAAAAAAGCTGTAAACCCAACGTCCAAGCTGACTCGAGGACTTCCGGTTTCCGGGCCCCCTCATGTCCCCCATGTGGCCTTTCCTGTCTCTTCTCTACAAATTAATCTTCTCTGACTTTTGCTGCTCGAGTCACCTCTGATTCCATCTGAGCGCAGAAAAGGACCCTCGCCTCCCGAGAATCGCAGCGCACCGCCCTGCCCCGTTTCTCCCTCTGTTTCTCCCTCCATGTCTGCACCCCGACCATGGCTGGAGGGCTGGCTTTGCCTCTCCCGTGACCACCTGTGCCAAGTCATAAACCTCCTGTCTTTATTTGCTGTACTCAGGCAAGTGGCTGCAGCTCACGTGTGGAAACCTCAGAGGAAACAGTTTATTTACCCCCTTTGCTCTTGATGGGGAAAACACAGCCTGTGTGTGTCTTTCTTTCTGTCTTTTTTCTACTTTTTTGTTGGAGGTGGTACTGGAGCTTGAACTCAGGGGCTCACACTTGCTAGGCAGGCACTTTATCACTTGAGCCATTCCACCAGCCCTTTTTGTGTTGGGTATTTTCAAGATAGGAGCTTGTGAACTATTTGCCCAGGGCTGGCTTTGAACCTCGATCCTCTTGATCTCTGCCTCCTGAGTAGCAGGGATGCAGTCGTGAGCCTCTTGTGCCCGACTCTTGTGCGTCTTTCTTCACCAGTATAAGTTTCTAGCACTGCTTCTCAGGGTGAAGCCTGTAATCTATTGGAGGCTGTAGAAACTAGAAGAGTCCATGACACACAGTATGGATGATTATTGGGTTACTTCAGGGAGTCTGTCTGTCTGGATGCAGTGTCAGGCTGGAGAGGTGGTGGCCTCTAATTGTGGCGGCCAATCCAGACTGGAAGGGGCTGGCAAGATTGCAAGTCATTCTGGGAGACAGAGGATGGTCGGGGCTCTGTAGGGGCAGGGTTGTCAGGCTGTCACCAAGGTCACTTCATCTCACAATGTCCCCAGGATCCAAAGGGAACTGTTGGTGTGTTGCACATAGGAAAACCCAGGCAAGGACCCAGGTGGGTTTACCTGGTTGTAATCTGGAGCACAGTGGTCCTAGAAGTGGCGATTTCAGGTCAGGTGGGGGACACCAGCATCTGGTGCAGGCTGCCACCCTCCTCCTGAGCCATTCTCCTGTCTGGAGGCAGCCTCCCCGTGTCCAGGTCACCTCAGGTTCCGTTTGTCCCTTGACCTCCCTTGCAGAGGAGGCTGTTGGGTCACCAGCACAGCCCCCCATTTCACAGGAGGGGACACTGCATGGGACACTGAGGGACTGGACCTGTACATCTAAGCCTCTTGGGTGGGGGTGGAATGTCAAGAATATTCCCTCCGTGAGAAGGAGGACGTCCCCACTCATCACGCCCATTGAGTGGGGGTCGTGCAGACCACAAGGTCTTTATGGAGTGGATGCTCAGAAATCCCCAAGGACCAGGCCCGCCAGGGATTCGCGAGCTCTGGAACCAGGCCAGGGCCACGTGGCACAGCAGGTGGTCCTGCATGGACTTTTGTGATTGGCTCTCTACTTAGAGAAATGAGCCAATCAAAATGAAGCACTGTCACCCCGCCTCCTTTCCCCAGCCAATGAGCTCAAGGACCTTTCCCTCTTGCAGTCGGGAGAATTACAGAATTTTTGACACGTGTTGTGGACCCCAACTAGCGGTTTATGGCGACATCGTGTTCCCCACCCTGTGCAGGACGGGGCGCTGGTAACTGCACTAGACAGCTGAGCAGTCGAAATGTTTCAGGGCGCCTCACAAAGTGAATTTTGTATTTTCACACAGTTTCTCTCTCTGTAGCCAGGCTGGCCTTGACCTCAGGGTCGTCCTGCTTCTGACTCCCGTGTGCCGGGATCGCAGTTGTACCTACCACGCACGACTGACCAACTGAATTTCAACTCTTATTTCATTTGCGTCATTTACAGTTCTTTATGTGGCGCGTGGCCACCTGATTTGTCAGCCCGTGAAGTCTTGCCATTCAGTACCATCACCATTTTCTTTCTTTCTCTTTCTTTCCTTCCTTCCTTCCTTCCTTTCTTTTCGGGATTCACCCTTTTGAGACAAGGATTCTACTCCTGAGCTCCACCCCAAGTCCAATACAATGATTTTGCAAAGACCATTTGTTACTGAGGGCAGTTTCCAAGGTAGTGAGATGTCACCAGCAAGAACCACACCCATGTCTGTCCTAGTGCCAGGACAGTGCATGGTGAGGATGTGTGAAACCATCGTCTCAGCTGCCACCCAGCGCCTGCCTACTATTTCCCTAACCAAGGGGATCTGCAGCTCCTATATGAGAGCTGAGGTGGGCCATGTCGTCAGGGGGCTCAATCTTGCCCCAGCCTCCTGTCATCCTCCCTCTGTGCTGGCCTTGGCGTGTATGTGGGGGGGTCTCACTCTGATGGTATTTTTTTCTTTTTCTTTATTTTTTTTGGTGGAATGTGGCTTAAGACTCAGCACTTCGTGCTGGCAAAGCAGGGGCTCTACTTCTTGGCTACACCTACAGTCCAAATCAATTTCTATCATTTTGTTTTGTTTTGGTGGTACTGGGGTTTCAATTCAGGACCGAATGTTTGCTAGGCAGGCAGGTGTGCGTAGTGAAGCGGTCCTGGTCACAGCGTGGTCAGCTTGGACAGTCTCAGTTCTGCTTCTGCAAGGTGGATCCTAGAAGTCATAGTGCTGAGGGGACAATCCGCCATTTATCCAGGGTGCAGACTCATTCCTGTCAGGCTCACTGTGGCTTGGGGACAGTTTTTGTCCCTTATCTTTGAGATACAATCCAGAAATGCAAGGTGATCGCAGGAGAGAGTGACTCAGGGGAAAATGGCTTTGACCTGCGATCCTCCTGATTTCTACCTCCTGAGTAGCTGGGATTACAGGTGTGACCCACCACGGCCTGACTGCAACAATTATTGTAAGAAAGGATACCAGGTTTTGAAAGGAGCACAGGTTAAAATTACCCTTTGTTTAAAGAGTCAAGGAAAACAGATATCTGTGTCACAACGACCCAAATGTAGCAAACTGACATGACTTGATATGACTGGGCAAAATTGACAATGTTAAAACAGTGCAATGGCAAAAATGACTGAAGAGAGGAGTCCTGACAAAGGGGGAATTTATCCTAAAATGAATTTAATCCAAGCCCCCAACCCACTTTTCTCCATTCATACCCTGGATGTTTGAGCTCTTGGTACACCTCTCCTCACCTGTGCCCACCTCCATTTCTGAGTGTGCCACCCTTTCTTTCCTTTTTTTACTAATAAACATTCTCGTCTCTACTTCAGTGTGTTCTCAGATTCTTTTTGGGAATATCACAGGCGTGGTGCCTAAGGCTCACGTAGAGGCCTCCTTCCCTATTGAGATGTCCCTGGAGCCACATGGGATAAAACAACATCAATAATAGTGAAAATGCTGCTGGCAGAGTGGCTCAAGTGGTAGCACACCTGCCTAGCAAGGCTGAGGCCCTGAGTTCAAATCCCTCTACTGCCAAAAAAAATTAGAAACTAATGGTGAAAGTGATAGGTTGAGGACAAAGAGAATTAAGTTGAGAGCCAGGTGCCAGTGACTCACACCTGCATGGGAAGCTGAGATTGGGAGGATGGAGGTTCAAGACCAGCCCATGAAAATATTTTGTGAGACTCCATGTCCAAAATAACCAGAGCAAAATGGACTGGAGGAGTGGCTCAAGTGGTAGAGTGCCTGCTTTGCAAGCGTGAAGGCCTGAGTTCAAACCCCAGTACCACTAGATAGAAGAAAAAACTCAGGTGAGGTTTCTCTGTGGTGTTCCAGGAGTTGGTCCTCAGCTTCTGTAAGGGCCCCCATCCTTTCCTTCACCTCAAGCATAGAATAAGGCACCAGTGGTGTTCGGGGACCCTGGTTTTCAGGACCTAATGCTGTCTGGGTTTGTCTGATTCTCCCCAGACACCTGCTGCTGCCAAAGTAACTGCCACATTCTCACCCCACACGGCCTGCTGGAGCCATTCCAGTAAACTGCACTTCAGACTGCACCTGCCCGGAACTCGCTCAGGGTTGGAGAGTGAACTGCAGACTGGGACCAGACTGGGACCACGTGGCCTGGGCCCATGCAACCTGGTAAGGACAGACCCTGGGAGGTCAAGGAGACACTTCTCCTCCCTAGGGAATGCCTGTCTGGATCCTGTCTGGATCCGAAAGGCATCTCCGCCCTCAGGCAGTGCAAAAAAAAGACTATTAACCCCACTCCCACCCAGACTCATGGGACTCATGGGACTCATGGGATCACCATGTCCGGGTCCCCCTGCATTCCCCAATATGCAGTCTTTCTCTTCTCTTCTCTACAAATAAATTCTCTACAAATAAAATCTTTCTGACCTCTGCTGTTAGAGTCTGTCTGTGCTTTCATTCTCAGAACAGGCTCAAGAACCCTGAGCACCTGAAATTCCTGCACATATCATCTGTGCATCACTGGGGACCACACAGCCCACAGCTCAGATTCTGGAGCATCTGCAACATCGCAGTCCATCAGACTCGAATGCACAAGTGAGCACATCTGTGACCGCACCCCAAGGAGCAGGCATGTCCCCCGCAGTGCTCACTTCCCACCCCTGAGTTGAAAGTGCCAGGCTGTGCTTTCCCAGCCACTGAGACTTCTGGGAAATACCCTAACCCCAAAAACAAGAAAAGGGAAGTGCAACCCTTCATTGCACTCCCTCTCCTGTTCCCAGCAGGCCTTGAAGCTTTGCATGGGAGGTCCCCAGGAGGCCCATGTTGTAATGAGAAGGAGCAGGCAGTGCTTGACAAGTGACAGAAGGGCAGCCGGGTACACTGGGGGCTGAGGGGGCCGTTTGGCTGGCCTTGGCCTTGGTGCTCCACAGGAATCCTTGCTGTCAGGAAAATAATAAATCTCATCTCTTCCAACACAGGAGACCCGGGATTCGCACTCTTGGTTGCAAAGCGTTGTCAATGGTCCCGTGCACACACAACCCCTCACATTCTCCGCCTTTCACCCAAACCCCCTGCCCTTATGGCCTACAGTGATTTTACATAGGGTCTGTCTTCATTGAAGGCTCACCATAACTGCTTTTTGTCCTTCCTCCTCCTTCCTCTTGGCAGTGCACCAGCTGTGATGAGGTGACAGAATGAAAGGCCATGGCTAGCACAGGATGATTACAAGAGGCTGGGCAAGATCAAGTCCCCAGAACACTGTGGCTCACCTCAGCTCTCATATAGGAGCTGCAGATCCCCTTGGTGGGGCGCTCTGGGCAGTGCTGAGCACCAGGCAGGCGCTGGGCTGCAGCTGAGACGATGGGTTTCACTCATCCTCACTGTGCACTGTCCTGGGCCAGGACAGATGTGGCTGTGGTTCTTCTGGTGACATCTGAAAGCTCGGTGTCCCTCACACCTCACAACTGCCCCACTACTGAAACTGCTCTTGGCCACATCACTGTGTTGGACTCGGGGTGTTAGTCAGTGGTACAGCCTTGCCTCAAAAGCGCGAATTCCCAAAATCCCAAACAAACAGATCACTGTGAAGAGGTATGTGGTGATGGAATCACCATGACAAATTTGTCTATGGCATGGTGATTGTAACCATGACAGGTTTAGAACTCTCCATCCTCTTGTTTCTGGCTCTGGAGAGCTGGGATTACAGGCTTGTGCCACCATACCTATGTTAGACCAGTGCTCATTCTGGCACTTTACCTGAATAGAGACCACCTGGAGAATTGTTTAAGAACCAGAGAAGTTGTGAGTTCCACTCCAGCAACCTGATTCCAATTCAGAAGGCCTGGTGCTGGTGGCTCACACATTGTAATTCTAGCTACATAGTAGGCAGAGATCGGCAGGATTACAGTTCAAAGCCAGCCTGGGAAAATAATTCTCCAGACCCTATTTCAACAAACAAACAAACATAAAAACCCATCACAATAAAGGGGGGAGGAATTTCTGGAGGTGTAGGCTGTGAGTTCAAACCCCAGTAGGACATACAGATAGCAGGGGGCACTGAAACGTTGCATTTCTGTCCTGCTGCCCTCGACACTCCCCAACCAAGGACTGAAATTGTAGAATCTTGAGCTGAGTGGCAAGACCCTGGACAGACCAATGAGGTGGTCACTAGCCACATAAGGAACGGTAATTTATGAAAATAACATATGATTTGAAATTCAAAACGTCAGTCTTACCTCATAGGATACACCTGTAATTCCAGCACATTGGAGTCAGAAGCTGGACATCCTTAGGTCAAGGCCAGCCTGGCTATAGAGAGAGAACATGTCTCAAAAAACAAAATTCAGGCTGGCAGAGTGGCTCAAGTGGTAGAGCGACTGCCTAGCAAATGAAGCAAGCATGAGGCCCTAAGTTCAAAGTTCAAGCCCCAGTAATGCCAAAAAAAAAAAAAAAAAGCCAGGCACCAGGAGCTCATGCCTGTAATACTGGGTACTTGAGAGGCTGAGATTGGAAAATCGAGGTTCGAGACCAGCCCAGGCAAATAGTTCACGAGATTCCATCTCCAAGATAACCAGGGCAAAATGGACAAGAGGTGTGGCTGAAGTGGAAGAGCCCCTGCTTTGTTTGCAAGAGGGAAACCCTGAGTTCAAACCTCAGTCCCATCATACCCCCCCCAAAAAATTAGGACATTTGTGGAGTGGTTGAAGCAGGAGAGCAACTGTCTGCCAAGCATGAGGCCGTGAATTTGAGACCCAGTACCATCAAAACAATCAATAAAAGCATTTTAAAAATTCAATTAGTGAGGCGTCCTAGGCACAAATCAATGGCTCAATGGTCAAGGGCGATCAATCGCTGCGCCCGCAACCGGGCCGATTAAACGACGTCTCCATAAACCCACTGCTGACCACAACACATCTCAAAAATTCTGTAGTTCTTCCAGGCTGCTGGAGGGCAAGTCCCTTGAGCTCATTGGCTGTGACAGGAGGCGGGGTGTCAACACTTTGATTGGCTGAGTTCCCCCAGCAGAGAGCCAATCATCAAAGGAGGTAGGGGCGTGGTCAGCTCTGCCACGTGGCCCCGCCCCAGGCTCCAGAGGTCCTGAAATCTGGCGGGCCTGGTCCTTGGGAATCTGAGCATTCACTCCCTAAAGACCTTGTGGTCTGCACGACCCCCTCCCAGATAGGAGTGATGGGGGAGGGAGGTCCTCCTCACTGCAGGAAAACAGGCTCCTCCAACCCTGACCCAACCCTGCGGGCTTAGGATGTACAGGTGCAGTCCCTCAGTGGCGCACTCAGTGACCCCTCCGTGAAATGGGACGACACTGGTGACCCAACAGCCTCCTCTGCAAGGGAGGTTGAGGGAAAAAGGGCGCCTGATGTGAGCCGGTTACAGAGAGACCTTGTCCCCACAGGAGAATGGGTCAGGAGGAGGGTGGCAGCCTGCCCCAGATGCTGGTGTCCTCCACCTGACCTGAAGTCACCACTGCTATGACCGCTGCCTTCCAGACTTCAACCAGGTAAACCCACCCGGGTGCTTGCCTGGGTTTTCTATGTGCAAAGCGGCAACAGTTCGCCTTGCATCCTGGGGAAACTGTGAGATAAAGTAAGACCTGGGTGACAGCGTGACAACCCTGCCATTACAGAGCCCCAGCCATCCTCTGCCCACCGCAATGGCCCGGCCCTCTGACCGGTCTGGACTAGCCGCCAGAATCAGGGGCCACCATATACCCAGCCTGAGATTGCATGCACACGGATGGACTGCCTGCAGGAGGTGCCATGGCGTGGTCACTGAGGACAGAACAGACAGCTACCTTGGCAGCAGAGAAAGTCCCTAGTAGGCTGACCCTTGTGGCCTGGGGACTAGAGTTTGTCACCAATATAGCCCATTTTTGGCAGAAGGCGCCTAATGCCTGGGTCTCCTTTACTGTTACCCAGCAGGAGCCAATGCCTTCTCACACCAGCAGAGCAGAGAGGCTCCTGGCCCACCCCACAGTGGGGCTAACCCTGTGAAGTTAACTCAGATCTATGTCCTCAGGGTGTGACCATCCTGCAGTCGCCTGACTCACCCAAGCCCTTACAGCCCTGACCCCAGATGCCCTAATCCTGGACGTGGCCTGTGGAACTGTCTTGGTAGCTTTCAGGTGAGGCCTTCCCCAGAGCCCCTGTCCTCCCTTCAAGCCCACCATCCCACTCACCGAAGGTCCTCCCACCCTGGACCCAGAACCTTGCCCTGTTCTGACTCATTAGTCCCAACACATCCACCAGGGTGACAGCTGGGCGGTCCTGGCCAGTCTGAGACTCCCTCACCCCAGTTCAGGCTTGGGCCTTCCTCCAGCTGCATGGGGTGGATGGCTCCCACAGTTGGTGACACAGGCCCAGGTGCTCAGCCTCTACCAGAGCCTCAGCCTCTGCACCCAGGGCTAGGAGCCTCTGCCCAGCCCTGAAGGTACTTCCCTCCAATGTACACCCACGGCCACTGCTCCACCTTCACACGTGGAAAGGGTGAAGCGATCCCCTCCTCTCACCAGCCTCTGCCCCCACCGCTGGGGCCTCCATGAGCCTCTCTCAGTGAGCCCCAAACCCAGTGTCTGAGATCAGCCAGGCCTGTGTCCTACCCTCACCCCTTCATGTGAGCTGAGCCCTACCGAGTCAGGTGACGTGGACACGTGGAGGGGCTCAAGTGGTAGAGCGCCTGCCTATCAAGAGTGAGGCCTGAGTTCAAGGCCCAGTACCGACAAAACAAGCAAAAAAGAAAGAAAAAACATAGTCCCTCCAAACTGCGGTCATGGGGTCCTGGCCTCTGGGGTGTCTAAGGCCACCCCTTAGGCAAAGCACCAGATGACAGTCCCACCCCACCAACAACCCACAGGGACCTGCCATGCATTGCTGATGGTGGGTGCCCTCAGTGTTGTCCATGTGCTAGACTAGAACACATGTCCATGAACTAGAGTTGGACACTTAGTTCATGTGTGTCACTAAACCAGGTGCACATGTGTTCCTGTGTCCACACCACACCCGCCCCCTCAAGCAAGTGGAGGGAAAGCACGGGTCAGCGCTGCCCTCCCAGCTGAGCACGCAGTCAGCAGTTATCCACGACAGCTTTATTCAGAGGCGGCCAAGGTCAGGAGGTTGGGAGCCTGGGCTGAAACTGTCCTCAGCTGTTGACCTGTCCTCTTGATACTGCATGGAGCCAGTCATAAGATCAGGAGGATCAGGGTTCGAAGACAGTCCAGGCAAACAGTTCTCATGACCCCACTTGAAAATACCCACAAAAAAGGGCTGGTGGAGAGGCTCAAGTTGTAGGCCCTGAGTTCAAACTATAGTGTCGCCAAAGAAGAAAAGAAAGAAAGTAAGAAAAAATGTAACAAAGAGAGTAAGAAAGAGTGTAGGAAATAAGGTAAGCAAGAAGGTAAGAAAAAAGAGAAAAAAGAAAGAAAGAAAGCGAGAAAGAAAAAAAGTGAGAAAGAAACAAAGAAAGTGTTTTTCCTAGCCCTGAAGAGGATGAGGACCTTACAGTGGGGGCGGAGTAATCATCAGAGTGGGGCTGGTGAATGAGGCAGGGCAGCCTAGGGCAGCACAGCAGGGCCCCTCCAAGCAGCAGCAGCACAGAGGCGGCCCAACCGATGTAGAGCGATGTCCCCATCTTCTGACTCTCCCCAGAGTCCTCCAGAGAGTTGCGGTTGTGGTACCAAATGCTCACAGTTATCCAGGTCACGGTAAACGTCACCATAGCGCTGGCTGTCAGAAGCACCATACCTGCCTTGGTTATGATCTTGGCCTTGGTGGTCTCACCTTCCACCCACTTGGTGCACTTGACCCCCACCATGGAGGACAGCAAACCCAGTGCAGCCATGATGAGGCAGGTGACCATGAGGACACGGGCCACCTGCAGGAACTCTGGCATCATTAACTGGTATTCCGTGCATTGAATCTGGGTTCCATTCAGAAAATCGCAGACCTTCCACAAGCCCTCTGATACGAACTCAGCTTCATACATGTCACTGTTGAGGAAGACTGTCACCCTCCACATGGGCAGTGCACAGCTCAGTACAGCACACAGCCAGCCCAGGAAGGCCAGGGCGATGCCTGTCACCTGTAGCCTCATGGACGCCATCGCTCAGCCTCTGAAGGGGTCAAAGACGTGGAGGACAGTGGGGGTCCGCCTCGGGGAGTCAGAGGATTCCACAGTGGCCAGAGAAAGCTTTTCCTTGTGGGGTGCAGCAAAACACAGCCTGTTGGAGATCCACTGCCGCCACCAGTGTGTCTCTGTAAGGTCATGTAGCAATCAGGAAGTGTGACCACACCCATCCTGTCCTGTGAACAGCTGCACCACGGATCTGAGTCTATAGGTTGAGCAGTTATATGACTCTCTCAGGGGACAGGGCAGAGGGAGGAGTTTCAGTTCCTGGGGCTGCCTTGACCAGTTGATATGTTCCTGTTTTGTTTTTTTTGGTGTGTGTGATAATGGGGTTTGAATTCAGGGTCTACACCTTTAGCCACTCCACCAGCCATTTGTCATGATGGGTATTTTCTGAGTTAGGGTCTCATGAACTATTTGCCTGGGCTGACTTTGAACCATGATCCTCTACATCTGCCTTCTTAGTTGCAGGTATTACAGTCATTAGCGATCTGTGCCTGGCCAGTTTGTGTTTTTCTAAGCATGGCTAACATGGGGCCCAGGTCCTGTGTCTAAGAGCCCCTCTCTTTTCTCCCCAGCCTGTGCTGAGGTCAGCCTGGAGACAGAGGCTGAGTCACAGCCCAGGGCACCCGGATGCTCACCGGGTGGGAATGCAGGGGTAGTAGCCAAATCCAGGAAGCTTTAGGTTCTGAAAACCAGGGTCTCCGAACACCACTGGTGCCTTATTCCATGCTTGAGGTGAAGGAAAGGATGGGGGCCCTTACAGAAGCTGAGGACCAACTCCTGGAACACCTCAGAGAAACCTCACCTGAGTTTTTTCTTCTTTTTAGTGGTACTGGGGTTTGAACTCAGGCCTTCACGCTTGCAAAGCAGGCACTCTACCACTTGAGCCACTCCTCCAGTCCATTTTGCTCTGGTTATTTTGGAGATGGAGTCTCACAAAATATTTTCATGGGCTGGTCTTGAACCTCCATCCTCCCAATCTCAGCCTCCCATGCAGGTCTGAGTCACCTGGCACCTGGCTCTCAACTTAATTCTCTTTGTCCTCTATCTATCGCTTTCATCACTGGCTTCCTTTTTTTTTTTTTTTTTTTTTGGCAGTAGAGGGATTTGAACTCAGGACCTCAGCCTTGCTAGGCAGGTGTGCTACCACTTGAGCCACTCTGCCAGCAGCATTTTCACTATGATTATTGTTTTAACCCATGTGGCTCCAGGGGCATCTCCAATAGGGGAAGAGGCCTCTACCTGAGCCTTAGGCACCGCGTCTCTAAAAGAATCTGAGGAAACATTGAAGTAGAGACGAGAATGTTTATTCATAAACAAAAGGAAGGGCGCACTCAGAAATGGAGGTGGGCGTAGGTGACCAGAGGTGTACCGAATTGAATTGGCTTAAATTCACCTTAGGATAAATTCCCCCTTTGTCAGGACCCTCTCTGGTACATTCAGTCATTTTTGCCATTGCACTGTTTTAACATTGTCAGTTTTACCCAGCCATTTCGAGTGTGTCAGTTTGCTACATTTGGATCATTGTGACACAGATGTCTGTTCTCCTTGACTCTGAGAGGCAGAGACAGGAGGATGGAAAGTTCAAGGCCGACCTGGGCTACACAATGAACCCTATCTAAAAAAAACCAAAATCAGCTGGAAATTGGTGCATATGATTTATGTCGGGCTGGCAGAGTGGCTGAAGTGGTGGAGAACCTGCCTAGGAAACATAAGGTCCTGAGTTCAAACCCCAGTACCACTGAAACAAAAGAAAACAACAGAATTTTATTTGGACTGGAGGTGTGGCCAAGACGTAGAGCCCCTGCTTTTCAAGCATGAAGTGCTGAGTTTAAAGCCTATCCCACCAAAAAAAGAAAAGAAAAAAAAAATATGTATATCTTAACAGAGTGAACCCCCCGCAGTCCATTACTGATAGAGAGCCTGTTGTCCTCTCAGTTATGCTGCTACCTTGCAAAAATTAAGCCAGAACCTGACATCCTCAAGTCTCATCTGACCACCAGAGTTATGAAATACTTCCAATGCCCAGGGCAAGTCCACACTGGTGTGATCTGATACAGGTGCCATGTTGACTCTCCAGTTCACCCCGGCCTCATTATGATTTCCTTATGATGATAACAGAGCACACACACCAGGACCATGACAAATCTAACCATGCCACATTAGGGAAGAAAAGAGATGTCACCTGATCCCTGGAAATCCCCTTCTTTCTCCTTGACAATCTCTGAGGACAGCAGGAGGCCACAGCCTCATAACTGAGCCCTAGTAGGACCCAAAGCCCAGACCACTCGGAGGAGGGGAATGCAGAAAATGAGTCTTCCACCACCTTTACTGGCTATTGAATAAAATATCCTGCAGCCCATAGAAAAAAAATTTAAATTGTCCTAAGAGTAAGATGCAGGGGAGAGTGGCTTATGTGACCCTAAGCCCTGGGCTCCTTCCCAGGAGGCTTCCTGGCTCACTTGCAGGCACTGGTCAGGAGAGGTCATGTGACCCAGTCCCGCCAATGGGATGAAGCAGAAGGCTTAGGCTGGGGCTCCCCACAAAGCTTTTGTGAAGGCTCACATAACTGCCTTTTGTTCTTCCTCCTCCTTCCTCTTGGCAGTGCACCAGCTGTGATGAGGTGACAGAATGAGACCTGTGTGTCAAGGCCAGCACAGAAGAAGGATGACAAGAGGCTGGGGCAAGATTGAGCTCCCTCTTGACTTTGGCCCATCTTGGCTGTTCATATAGTAACTGTAGATCTCCCTTGGTTAGGGGAGCACCAGGCAGGTGCTGGGTGGCAGCTGAGACAATGGGTTTCACACCACCTTTGGGGAACACGTGGGCCTCCCTCAGTCCATTCTTCCCCCCTCTCAAGATTACCCTGCCATTAGGACAGGGACAATGACATCCATTCAGTAACTACTTCCTGCTGAAAGGGGATGACGAAGGGGCGCACAGCATCAGGGCTGACCATGAGAAGGGTTATGGAGGGGACCAGGGTCATAGGTCGTCATTATTTTTATCGGCATCTGTAGTTTGATAGATTCTGGGCAAGAGGAAACAAACTTGACAAGTAAGTTTAGAATGCAAGGTCACACACAAGTAAGACAATAAAGGACAACTACAGGACCCAGACAGGGTAGGAACCACATCTTACATAGGATATTATTTGGTCACATACGTGTGTGGATTCTTAAGTTTTTGAGGGACAGTTTTTGGAGTCACTTAGCCTGTTGAAGAATGTAGTTTGTATTTTTTTTAGACAGATAGATAGACATAAAAAATCTAGGTGGTCCCAGACTATCAATAGCTGTAGCTGGACCAGCAGGTGGAAGGTGGAGAATGGAGAGGAAGGGTTTCTTTTCCCCATTTCTTTTCAAACATTCTGTCGCAATAATGCCCAAATGCTAACATTTACTCTTTCTGGGTGGCAGATACCTGAAGGTTGAAAATAAGCAGACCAAGAAAGATCTGAAGGAAGATCCAGAAAGCGGCCGTGCAAAGGCCCTGGGACAGCCCGGGCACGCTGCAGCACAAGCAGGGGCCAGGAAGGCAGAGCCAGGCGGCCAGAGGCCAGAGAAAAGGGTGGCTAGGAATTTGGATCTGGGATTTGAAGCAGGGGAACAAACTCACCAGAGGGACACTGTGGATACCTTGTGTTGGCCAGGACTGTTACATTAACGGTTCAAACTAAGGGGTGAAATGCACAGCGCAGGTCTTGTCCTGGGATCTTCTTTTGTGTGTGTGTTGGAGATTGTTCATGAGACACCTGAAAGTAACAGGTGTGGGTGTGTCACTGGGGCTCCCAAGGGACAAATGTCCTGGGCACAGTTGGGTACAGTCCAGGGAGTCAACGGCATGTACATGCTAGTGAAGGTGACAGGGCCGAGGAAATGAGACAGAGAGGACAGGAGGTGCCTGGCAGCTTGCCTCAGTTTATAGGGGAGAGGGGAGAGGGGGCAGGGGGAGGGGAAGGGACAGACAGAGAGGAGAGTGGGGAGAGGGAAGGGCACAGGGTGAAGGCAAATCAAAAGGAAGGAAAGTAGCTTTCTGGCCCCCAAAACCCCACATCCACCTACAACAAGGCTGCTGCCCCAGTTGGCAGACCCGATTCTCCCAGACACCTGGTCCTGCCAAAATAACTGCCATGTCCCCCTCCACACGGCCTGCTGGAGCCATCCCAGTAAACTGCACATCAGACTGCACCTGCCCGGAACTCGCTCAGGGTTGGAGAGTGAGCTGCGGCCTGGGACCACAGAGCCTGGCTACCACTCAGCCTGGGACCACGCAGCCCGTTAATCTCACAGGCACACGTGAGCACACGTGTGACTGCACCCCAGGAGCAGGAATGTCCCCTGCAGTGCTCACCTTCCACCCCTAAGCTGAAAGTGCCAGGCATTGCTTTCCCAGCCAGTGTAGCTTCTGGAAATACCCTCCCCCAAAGAACAAGAAAAGGGAAGCCCACCCCCCACACTGCACTCCTTCTCCTCTCCTCTTGCTGTTGGAGAAAATAGCAAATCCTACCTTTCCAACCATGGGGGACTGGATTTTCACACCCTAGTGTTCTACAGAATTGCAGTTGTTCCTGTGCCCCACCCCCCCCCCACTCACAGTCTCAGCCTTTCACCCAAACCTCTTACACTTCATGATTTAGAGTAATTTTAGAAAAGGTCTCTCTTATTGTCCAGGCTGGACTGGACCTCGATCCTCCTACCTATGCCTTCCACATGGCTGGAGTTACAGGAATTTTCTACCATACCTAACTTATTCATTGAGATGGGGATCTCACTTTTTTCTTTTTGCCCTGGTTGCCCATGAACCACAGTCCTCACAACCTCTATCTCCCGAGTAGCTGGACCACAACTGTTTTCTATTCCCTGCACTGTGGTGGAACCTGGTGGGTGTGGGGGAGAGGCACTTTGAGCAAAATGTTTTTGGGTTCCAAAAACTGAGGACTGGAGCAAACAAAAGACTGGAGAGAGAAGAAAACTCAATGGTCACAGAAGGCCTTCCAACACCGGGGCTCACACAGATTCCTAGGCTGGGAAACGCAGAGTCCATGGGGAGAGAAGTGGGTGGGAAGGGGCCATGCCTGGGAGACAGCAAGCAGAAACCACCAGCCCCCATCAGGGTCACCCAT